CCCCAAAACCCCAAAACCCCAAAACCCCAAAACCCCAAAACCCCTTAAATATAATCAAATATTGAACTAAATATGAACACTGGTCATAACAGAATGTACTCCTTTAGCACTGTAAGCTTGAGCCCTAATTTCTCTAGCATGGCAAAATCAAGAGAGACAACTCAAGACTGGTAATTGACCCACTGATCTTTTAGAGTTTTCTTCCAACAATGGGATCAACAACCTCTAAAGGTAGACAAAGCGTTGCAACACAGGAATATATTTTTAGTATATTTGGCGTTGTTTAGCAATCTTACATAAAAATGCTGATCCCAATATTGGGAGAGTCGATGGGCTAGAGGAGTTACCATATTATTTAAAAGTGTAGCATGACAAATAAGTCAAAGACTGTATTTACTGTTTGAAAAATTCATAGCCCTCTCAACAATATTTTAGAGTCGAACTATGAGAAAATCGAACATTATCCGGTTTAATTTAGAGTTATTATAAATGAAAGCAATGCTAACTGTTTTATAGCCACATTCGATAGGTCTTCTACAGGAAAAACCAATCCACAAAGCCAGTTATCAAATCTGAATTCTTTCTCTGAACGCAACCTGGCTTGGTCACTCACATTTGATAACAGCGTCATTCAAGCTAGGATAAAAAGGGATGAACATAGGATGCTAAGAAGGATAGAACTTGGATCTTTCTCAGAAAGTTTTAAGTCTAATAAGACCATAAAGAAGAAAAGTAAACGCAAAGTTCAACTTTTTGACAAAGTCAATTTGGATACTTTGAAGAATAGTAGAAGCATGAAACTATCTCTAAACGGAAGTCCTACTATCAAGAATATGAATGTAAGCTTTACTCTGGTTTTATGAAAATTTTAATTGAAGTAAAAACTTGCTCAGTCTAAAACTAAGTATAGCCCAATATGAGGTACAAGATCAACCCGGATTATAAAATGCCGTTGAAACATGATTTCCAGATATCTAACAAACTGAATGTGACTATAAACAGCTCTAAGAAGCCGAATTCTGGTCTCACTAGTCCAACTCCCTCTATTTTAATTGAAGGCGAGATTAAAAACTCTGCTTCTCACCAATCAGATTTCGTTGGTTCTGCTAAATTGCCCATCCCTTTACCAAGGAAATCAGGTGAAGTTTCTAGCGAAGACAGCAGCTCTGAAGATAGCCAGGAATCTGAAGAAAATAAACCTCTAGAAATTGCCAATGCAAATATCAGGTATTGTTCAAACCTCTGGAAGGATACCTTAGTTTATAAATAACTTTGATGCAGTCAAACAGTCTGGATGCTAAACCGCAGGGTTTCAACTAGTGCTTTTATAGTCATCACACTGAATGAGAACTCTTTAGACTTATCTTTTATGCTTAGAGATTTTCACTAAGCATTAAAATTTAGAATCGTAAAAACTAAGTTGACCTCAAGTCTTCTTAGGCTTTTTCTAAAGTTGGAAATTAGTACTGTTTGAAGAATTTTTCAAAATTTTTAGGTAGGGTAATAACAATAGTTAATGGAATTTATAGAGAAGTGAAGACGCCTCAGATCCTTTGCAAGCCTCTGCCAGGGCCTTCTGCACTGATAGATGCTAATTCTAACAAATCCAGAACAAATAAAATATGTTCGGGAAAAAGAAATAATTCTAAGAATATAAACGTCAGACTAGTTCAAAGGACTGCTCCAAAATACACCTTCATGCGCAACCAGATTATTGAAGAAGTTAGTGAGGTTGAAGAGGACCCAGTAGAAGAGAAGCATAAAAAGTAAATCCTAACTAAAGGTTTTTATTCTTAAGCATAGGCGTAAAATTTATTTTAGATTTAATAACTCTATAAATCTCACTATTGATATAGGTTAATAAGAAAGATAAGCCTTAATTTACGCAAGAGTATGGACTCTTCGGGGATGAACCATCAGATAATTGTCTCTGGCATTTGCAGAAGCCCAACAAAGCATTGCTTTAATCACAAATAAATTGATTGTTAGAAAGAATAGGCCTACTTTCTCGATGAAAAATTCAGAGGAAGATAAAGAAATATCATCTGTACAAGAGCCTAGTATTGAACCTTCTGAGATAGGAGAGAACTATATCAATCTTAACTTGAGACGATCTGTCTGAGGTATCAGAAGGAACACTTTAGGGAAGATGAAGAATAGAAATCCCTCAGCTTTAGCTCAGATGTTCCATAGTATTGATTCTTCATCAATATCTGGCTTTAAGCCAATGATAAGTAAGGAGAAGAGTAAACTAAAACCTCTTTTTGTAAGTTATTACTTTTATGGTTCTAGATTTTACCAAAAAATACATTAAATAGCCCAGCATACTCTCTATCTCCTCTTGAAGATAAGAATGATTCTGATTTGAAGACTAAGATCATTAAGCTTAGGAAGAGAAAAGAGAGAGCTAGGCAGTAAGAGTATATTAGATATTAAGAAATATTCCAACTGGCTAAGATATAACAGGATGTTTTAAATCAAGTCTTAATCTCCCATGGCTGTATCCCAGTGTTTACTCAGGGCTAGAGAAATCGCTCAACTAAGAGAATGCTTCTCTTAGTTAGAGGATATCAAATTCCTTTAACACTATGAAGCAAACAGCATTTTAAAATGCTTCTAGGTGAAGTGAAAGCTCTGGCTAGATTAAGAACGGGAATTTTCTACAATTTTTCCAGTGATCAAGTTTGTATCTTCCCAGGAATATTTCTTAATAACGAATAATTTTACATATGATTTCTTACAAACAGCTTCTAAATAACACTGGGGACTTTAAAAGATTTCTATGAAAATTTCAATAACAATGTTGTTATATGGGGTTTTGGGGTTTTGGGGTTTTGGGGTTTTGGGGTTTTGGGG